TTCCAGGTGGACAAGAGTACGTAATGGAGGGGCCATTTAGGGACATATCTGCATTGATTAACTCCCTTCTCTGAGCAGAAAAGACTTCGGTTATTCCTCGGGAGCCTCCCTCCTCCCATCCCCCTTCTCTTGTTGAAATCATTGCACTTTGGAGCTGGGAGTATAGGTCAATCATCGGAAATCCAACCCTACTATCTGCCTCTCCCATTTTACAGATGAGGAAAAGATGGTTAGCGAGGTCATGCGAGGGGCCCATGGTCATGTCATCAGGTCTTTAGCGATGCCATGGTTGGGATGGGAACCACATGTCTCACCATGTAGCAAGGCTCCTAGAAATTTAGTCCCATCAGCTTAGCTACCACAATGGGCCTGTTAGTGTCCTGCGCTCACCTGGCTGGTACAACTACCTCCCAGCTGCTGCTAAGGGCTCACCGGAGCCTGGCCCCTTCCTCAGGCTGGGTGACTCTGGTATAAGTTGTGCCTCAGTGTTCCCCTCAAGATCAGGCTGACCCCAGCAGCAGACCAGCAGGGACCACATCTTTGCTCAGCTCTTACCCCTGCCCTAGCCTAAGAGCACTCCTTAATAACACACCTGCAAGAATCCCCAGCGGAGGCTTTGCTTCTGGGGACCTATTTGAAGCCATTCATGCCTGCCTTCAATGCAGCTACATAGAAAGAGGCCTAATAGCCTTTGCTGGAAAAGGACTGTTCCATCAGACTCAGCTTATTGCTTGTAAACAGCTACTGAATCTACTCAGGTAATGTTGAGAGGAAGCCACTGAGTCCTGCCCCTCCCTGTTAAATATTATTGTTAAGTTATCAGACTCACACCCACCGGACAGGCTAAACTGTAATCTTTCTTGTGCCTGGTTATCATGTTTTGCGAGTTTGAGGAGGAGGAGGAGGGTTAATCTCAATCTATAAAACAATGCGCCATGTTTAAATGGCCTATCAGACCTCTATTTGGCTGCTTGAGTCTGACCTGTTTTTATCCACAGCCTTCTATGCTGTTGGCCCAAATGCTTTAAATCAGCCCTCGTTTTATTTCTATGAATGCATTGATTGTGAACAGGTTTCTGGAGCGTAGACACAACTGTCATCGGCTCTACGCCAGAAATGTGACACACTGCGTTGACTGACACGAAAGCCCAGGTGAATGGGATGTTTGACTGGATGCTGTTATTTTCTAGTGATGCTCAGAATAAATTTCATGATTCCAATGTGACTCTTTTGTAAATAAAACTATTCTGGCATCACACACACACACACACACACACACACACACCAACAACCAACGAAAAGCAAAAGATGCTCTACAGCCCTGGGAGGCTCTTTCTGTTCCAATGCTAGGTGTATTCTGCAGGAAAGGCATTGATTTTGGAATGTCAATTATATAAGGAGCAAACTGTTATATAGGCTTATTCCAAAAGTATCTGGCAAGGTGTTTACATCCAGTTGCATTGTAGCTGCCTCTTCAGTGAGGTGTATTTTGGAAAAACACAACCCACTGACCAAGTGCCACCCTGTGTGCCTGTGGGTGCTTCTTTGTGTCACAGTCATTTACTGTGTTGCTGCTGCATCCAGTCAGCACGTTGTCACCTGTCAGTCTGAATTGTGGGGTCAGGCTCTGTGACTACAACGAGACATTGATGACTTGGGAGGCATGATGCAGGCTACATATCTGAACAGACTGACAAAGAGGGATAGTACAAATATAGGCACAGATTTTATGTAAGTGCCACTTATGACTCATAAGCCAGGAGCCAAGGCAGCCAGCAATGATGTGATTAATACTGGTGAGGGTGGGACAGCTACAGCCAGACCACACACACACACACACACACACACACACACACATCAGGTGGCCTTGAAGTGCAGCCGATACTTGCTGCTCTCCTGTGTGGGCAGTCATTCAGATTCAGAAGCCCTTTAATGTCTGCTCAGTGCCATATTCAGAGCCTCACGATGGGGTTCGGGGTTCATGGGGAAACGGGATTTGGGTTACTGCTTTGTTTTGGTCTCTGTCCCTTCGTCTCCAGTCAAGCCAGAGCCACAAGGAGAGCAAAGGCTTCTCGCATCCAGCTCCATTTCCCCGTGCGGATGTGGAGGCAAGAAGCTGCCTTTGCAAGGCTGGATAGAGGTGCTATTTTTAGAAAGAACGTTAGTAGGTGTGTGTGTTTTCCTTTGGGATCAGAGCTCTACATTACCGTGAAGTGCAAGAGGACAGAGTGCAGTGAGCAACTACGTGGCACAAGTATAATGAATGCCCGTGGTGCCACCTGGAGGCAGGGCATGTGGCGAAACGGCTGCAAGGAACTGTCAGGAAGATAGTAAGACCACCCTCCGTACAGGATTTATGGCTTAAACCAGCAGAGACCAGCTAGATCCGACATGGAGACTCATGTCACCTAAGGGTAACCCTAGCATCATTGTACACTCGTAATAAACAGAAAGTTCATAGAACAGTGGTTCTCAACCTGTGGGTCGCGACCCCTTTGGAGGTCGAACAACCATTTCACAGGGGTCGCCTAAGACCATCGGAAAATATATATATAATTACATATTGTTTTTGTGATTAATCACTATGCTTTAATTATGTTCAATTTGTAACAATGAAATTGGGGGTCACCACAACATGAGGAACTGTATTAAAGGGTCGCGGCACCACTGTCATAGAAGGGCACAAAATGACTGTAGGAGCTCCTCTGAGAAATCTCCCCCCCTTTCCCGGAAGGTCCTGATTACTTCTCCCCCTCATTGAATACCCTACCCCCCAGTTAGATGAACCTCAACCAAGGAAGCAAGTTTCACTAGAGGGGAGCTGCTGTGTGTGTGAAGTAGCCCATTCTTGGTCTCAGTGCTTCACTAATAAACTCACTTTCCCTTTAAGCTCCATGCTGGCTCATGTTTGAATTCTTTCCTCTGTGAAGCCAGGAGCCCTCCGTGGGCCCTGGACCCCTGAGCCCCCGGAACCCTGGCACGCCTGCCTCAATATGAACGGAGGCAAAGTGGGCTCATTTGCTAAGAGAGGGACCGAAGTTGGATCCCGGCGGTTTGAAAGCGCAGTTCTCAGATTTTGCTGGTGAGCTGTTAATGAAGTTTTGAAATTTCTTGGCTCATCAGGAAAACGGAAACATAACTACATTTATCAGCAGGGAGAAGGGAGACTGGTCCTTGAGGAATGTTCTGAGTGCTTACAGTTCTCACTAAAGCCTGTTTTCATTTAAAGCAATGGGCAATTTGAAAAAAAAAAAAAGTATGGGAAGTGGTATATAATTTACTTATACCCAAGAATTTATTTTACAACAAGTACCATTTCTCTTTCACTGAAGTGTACACCATTAGAGGTCTGCTTGCTGTGGA